CAGAATCTGATGTGTTGATCCAGAGATTCAAATCCAAGCTCTTGCTCCGTAGCATTGTTTGACAAGTTACTTTAATTCTCCATATACCAAGCTATGATTAATATAAGCACCCACCTCAGCACATAATTGTGAGAGTTAGAGTCGATACCATTGTGTGTGTAACCATGTATACAGAATAATGCCTGGCAGGAAGTACATTCAAAACAAATGTTAACAGTAACCTGTACCATTATCATTTGTTAGAATTATTAGCATAGATATGGTGAACATAATTCTAAGAAGCATCTTAAAAATGGCAATTTGATAGAGCTGAGAAGAAATAAAATTGGTCTTTTGTGGGATGATTACCTTGACTGAGATTCACTTGGTGAAGATGCCATGCCAATTCTTTCAAACTCACAGTCTCCTATGATTTTGATGACTAGATCCCAGGACCACAGATGAGAACACAGACCTTACTCAATAAGCTCTGGCTTTAACAAGGTCACTGATGAGACAACGTAAATTGAACAGTCCCAATTCATGATTAACATGAGATAAAAATGAATCTATAAATATATTCCTAATGATCATAGCTTAGTCATATGGTCTTAATATATTATAAATTCTCAGACTGTAAAAATGTCCAAGAGGCTATAGAGCCAAATCTTTTATTTTATAGGAAAAAATAGCAACAGAGTTGAATCACTGAGTAAATATCACATGATCACTTCATGGCAGACCCAGAACTCTTGGCCCATGAGTTGACTTGTTTTGTTTTTCCATTATCTCACATTCTTTAGTTTTAGAAGAATATTTTAGTAACTCTAAGAACTAACTTTTTAAATTCTATTTTCCATGTTATAGTTTATTATTCCATTATGGACAGAGCCACATGTATAATGGAATGATATTTTTTGGGTTTTTTTTGGTTTTTTTTACTTTATATAGTTTAAAAAAAAGTGATACAGTCAGTAAAAAGTATACTATGAATTTAGAATTTCCATCTTTTCCTGGGACGGCCATATGTGGTACAATAATCTTTTTGTGACAGCAATGGTCAGCCTCTGTTAGCCACACGGTATCAAGGGTACATCCAACAGTCCACAGTGCACACTCACAATGCTAGGATACTTGGTGTATTTAATGGAGTCCTGATTTTTTGTCTTACAATGGCCTGACTGAGATTTAAGTCCATTCTTAAGTTGTAGAACATCTTCTTAAGCAGCTCAATCCCAATGACAGGATTTGTTGTTCGTACGGAATTTTTTATGAAAGAAATTAGGATCTATTTTAAGGTATCACACATGAGACATAAAGAATGACATAACTTAAATTTCTGAAATTGTTTTATCTTCCATATTAGTTACTTTTCTGTTGCTGTGACCAAACACCATGACCAAAGGTGACTCATGGAAGAAAGAGTTTATCTGTGCTCAAGGTTCCAGAAGGATAAGAGTTTGTCACAGTGGGAAGGCATGGCAGCAGAGGACAGGCATGGTGGCAGGAGCTGGAGACTGAGAGCTCACATCTTCAGCCCCAAACACAGGTAAAAAAGCAAACTAGAAGTAGGGAAAGGCTGTGAACTCTCACAGCCGCCCTCAGTGACACACTTCCTCCAGCAAATCTCCACCTCCTAAAGAGTCCATGACCTCCCAAACAGTGCCATGAGCTGGAGGCAGTATTCAAATATTTGAGCCTATGGGGGACTTTTCTCATTCAAGCCACCACACCTTCTATGCTAAGCACAGCTGGCTAAGTGTGATGAGAGTCAATTAGGTGAGGATTGGTTAAGCCAAGTGAGATGATGTTGCCTTGGAGGACTATGACAACAATGGATTAGTGACAAGTCATCAAAAGCTGGACAGGTTTTTCATGGTAGTGCCAACAAACATTCCTGATACACTGTCTACAAAGGAAAATAAGATCATGAAAAAAAGTTCATTCAGATCTTCAGGAAGTTCTACTTGTTTATAATGAAATATACTGTTCTGTAATTTATACCAGAACTTCCCCTTCTTCCTCTATTGGAAAAGAGGCCCACTGCCACCTATACAATGCCTTGTGCATCTAGAATTATACATTATAATAGGGAAGAAAATCAACACTATAAACAATAGCTCCTGACTTTAAAGGGGTTCATCACTGGGCAGAAGAAACCCCTTTGAGTGGGAGGGAGGGCTATCTTTCAGCACTGCTAAGGCAGCTGGAAGCTACTGATGCTGTTCTGGATGTGTCTGCTGAAGTGGGAAACTGAGCTTACCACATGTCCACTGGCATGCATGGTAGAGCACCATTTAGGACAGAACTCATCAGCAAAGGGAAAACCAATCATGTAGGGAAGGCTAATTATAAGTGTATATATGACTGTAATTATAAGTGTACATATGACTGGCTTTGTCCCTCCCTCAGCTCCTGATGAACTTATACCAGGATCTGGGATAAAAACACATATGAGCAAATATTATAAAAGGTTATTTTCTTCAAAACCCTTTAAGTTGCAGAAGTAAAACCCAACACCAGCTTGATAGATCCTTGTGGAAGGCAGCCCAGAAAGACACTTGCCCTCATTTGGCATATGGTGTGGTACAATCTTGGCATGTCAAGGAGTGCCCGTCACAGTGGGCACAGTGGCAGTGCCACTGGCACAGAGAGCAGTGTTTTCAGAAGCCCAAGTGTTCATTTTTGAACAGTTCTCTAGGATGTATCAGAAGAATCCAGCAGGGGAGGAGGGAAGACAGTAAGAGGACTAGACATAGGATGTATAGCTGATCTCAGATCTCATAAATACCTATACAAGCTCAGTTTACTTATATTAGCAGGCAAACAAGAGCTAGAAAGGCTTAAGGTGCCATTATATTATCTTTCTAGCTCTTAAATAACATGGATGGAATGAATTTATCCTCCAGTTACAGCAGCGTTTTGCATCATTACATCCCTTAACTGGGTAGTTTGTAGACCCCAAAGCTCACAATCTGTTCAAGATTTCTAGAACTAAGGTAGATAGCCTCTGGGGATATTAAAGAGAATAAATTCTGAAAAATAGAGCATTGCTGCTTTTAAAATGATATACATCATTTTTTTAAGTACACACTTTATAAAAAATAAAAACTAGTCATTGTACAGAAGCAATTGAAGAGTGACTGTCTGGGTTCCATCTGTCCTGGTTCATATCTTATGAACTGTATTCTAAGTAACACTTCAACAATGCTGTTTACATTCTTTTCACTCCTAAAAGAAATATTGATCTTCTTGAAATACATCTTCTTAAAGGTCCTACTTTCTTCTGGATATTTGAAGTGGCTTTCACACACCTGCATCATGCTGAAGGGGTCAAAATAACTCTGAGTGCATGTGTGCCAATCTTACCCAAATTCAGTCACTTCCCCAATCTTGAATCACAGTGTGTGTGACCTGGCCACCACACCACCTCCTCATTTCTGGGAAGTATTTCCTCGTTTCTTTATTCATTGGTTTAAATTTCTAGTCTACATACTTCTCAAAAGTCAGTGAAGTATCCCACATTGTTAATTCCAGTTGATGATGAGAATGGTACACTGCTCTTGTAATAATTATTGCCACAAGCACAGGGCAGGAAGAGAAAGTCTGCTGAGGATGTGATACTTTACTACTCCCCAGCTTCCAAGAGAAGGGGGCAACATTTCAGGTCATTTGATGGGTGCAGCATGATTATACCCCATCCAGTGGAAAGGAAGAGGGTAGGAGTGCTGGGGACAGGCCTACCTTTGCTCAGGAAGAATCAGTAGGAAAACCTGAGCAGTTCCTTTATGCAATATTAAGAAGATAGCTAAGGATGTGAGGGCAATCTGGCTATGACTTCTATCACCCCAGTGATCACCAGGACTGATTTGGCTGATCTGGCTGGCCAGGCGGTTACCCCCTTCCTTCCTCAACACTCCATGTATGTCCCTCATGAAGCTGCTTGTTCTGTCGAAGAGGACCACCTTCCCCAGTAGAGGAGGACCAATCTTTGATCAAGGGTATAGGAGCAGCTGGGTCCCGTGCTAGAACCTCCAAACAAGCTCTCAAGAAGATAGCTAAGCACCCTAGGAACCTGTTGGGTCAAAATCTCTATTTAAAAAAATATAGTGATGCTAGAAACTTATTACCATATAAGTCAATATAGTTTAGAAAGAGAGCAGGCAGGTTGAACCCAGAACACCAGATCTGTGGAAATCACATTGGAAGCATCATGATGCAGCGTTGCACCAGTGTGACAGGGGATTACCCAGCCTGAAGTTCAACAGCATGTCTTCACGTTCATTTAACCAACTCTAAATTTCAGGCCTTAGTATCTATTTTCTGTTCTCACCACTGCCTTCCACTGGCTCATCCAAAAGTTCTGTGCTTAGCATCGTTGTATCTCATTTGCTTGGGGGAATGAAGAAAGTCAAGGAAAAGAATAATTTGGCAGACATTCTGGCATTCAGCTCTGTGTCTTTTTCTAAAATAGTCTCATCAGATTATTAACAATCTTGCTGCCCCCGCTTTCTAGCAAGAGAATTTGAGAAGCTCTACTCTGGAGAGATCTGGAGTTAACACTCAACTGTGTGCTGTACCTGTCTCCCACCGAGAGTCAAGAAGCCTAGTTTTGTATGAGGAATTCATTTATATGCCAAAATGAGAGAGAGAGAGAGAGAGAGAGAGAGAGAGAGAGAGAGAGAGAGAGAGGTGGGGGCGCCCGCTGTGGCTGCTCCCCCCCCTCTA